AACAAGCAGAGCATGTTCTCTCTGCCCCATATTCAGGCGCCGCTCAAATTCCAGCTTCTCCTGCATTTTCTTTTCCTGAGAGGAGTAAGAAGAAAGATGAATGCCACAAATCAGGAGACTGCTGGCTCTGCTCCTTTCCAAGCAAGAACAAATTCTGGCAAAAAAAGTGTAAAACAAGGCACAGTAATCCTCTTGACTACAAGCAAGCAAGTCAAATGGCAAACAGGAGGCTTGAGTAGGGAATGGAAATGTTCTCTCCTTAGGAACCCAAAAATTGTGAACTAGAAACTGCTGCTCTCCTTATGACAGTCTCCAAAGTCCCCACAACTCAATTCATAGTCATGAAGCTGAACTCCCTGGGCACCAACCCATACAACCAAACAGCCAATACAAACACCCGGAGGGAACCCAAAATGAAGGCTATGTTCAATTCCAGATGGCAAAGGGAATCCCTTGTCTGAAGACGACAGAGCAAAGGCAGCAGCCAGCTATGAGCAGCTCCAGCCAAAGGGAGAGGTGAACTGCACAACAGGAGCCTCTGGTTATTGCAAAGTGAGCCTTGCATGGGGTAAGAGACAGAGACCGGTGAAATACAAAGAAGAGCAAACTAAAAATGCAGCCAGGTGAGGACAGAAACAAGGAATAGTAGGAGAGATCAGGAACAGTGGCACTACGAGCCAAAGGGCCAAGGTAGGAGTCACAGAGGGGCTGGAGCTGGGGGCAAGGATGTACTAAGCAGCCTCTGCATGGACTGCTCACACATATCTGGCCACCTCGTGAAAAACAAACTGAGCTGTCAGCACAGAGAGGCAAGAAAAAAGCCATCTGGTGCAAAAGCTCCTGGGTCCAACTCTGCAAACACAAACTGATTTAAACTGGAACTGCTTGCTGACGAGAGAGACTGCAGCCCATTGGCTGTGTGTGTCAGACAGGTCAGTCACAGATTCCCCCACGCTTCCACTTGTCCATGAGGAGTGAGCAGCTTTGTGGGGTTTTCTGCAAGAACTCAGTTCTCAAACATTCAGCTTTGGCTGAGAAACTGGATCAAGGGATGAAAAACAAGAAACAGAAGCATTTACAGGTGTTCAGCCTTACCTTCCTCTTTTCGTAATCCAAGAATTTGTTCTGAAAAATAAGCAATATCAGCAGATATTTTACTCCCAGGAGCAATTTTCTGTAGATATCATTAACCCACATTCTATCTTCCCTTAATTGAGTAAAAACATCAACCAAAGGCACAAAAAGATTAACATGGACATGAAGTCCAGTCCCTCGTGCTTCTCCAGGGTCAAAGGAGTTTACTCTGTACTTGTTAAACAGCACAGGGATTGGCATAGCTGGTGATAATTACGTGCCTAGCCTCACCTTTCCCCTATAGGGCTGGACACGTCTAGCACTTGGCTGGGAATCATAGGGTTCTTCTGCAGTTTGCTGCCCTCCCAAAATATATGTGTTACCACACTACACACACCGTGTCACACTGTCACCGGTGTCCCTTAGTAAATCACTGCATTCCAGGATGGAGACAGTCCTTTGCAGTGGTAACACCATCCTCAGCTCCCAGGAAGGAGACGAGCCACCCACACACACAGTGCTACGCCTGGTTCTGGGCACTGCCGCTCTCTTGATCCCAAAAGACACATCTCATGGGAGGGAGGCGATGAGGGATGATGTGCTAAGGGCTGTGAGATCCATTGATGGAGCAGAGAGACAAACCCAAACCCCTCTCACACAACTTCACACGCAGTGGAGCCTCACCTGCCACTCGCTCTCCTCCTCCAAGTACTTATGCACTGCCTTGTCCATCCCGTCCACTGATGTTCCTCCTCCATCACTCTCCAGTGTGGGGAGTAGATACTCCGAGGGAGGGTAGTACGGAATTCCACACTCTGGAAGGTAGCAGACACAAAACAAGAACATTTGGTGCTAAAATTCCTCCTTGGCAGCATGGCCGAGGGTTGGCTGCTGTGTGAGACTGCTTCCAACTGTGCTCCCTCTCCCCACACACAGAGCAGCACCCAAAAGAGCTCCTTCAGCTCAGGGAGGCTTAACAGCAAGAAGCTTGTTGTCTGTCCTTTGTAGATGCAAGCTTTGAACACATCACAGTCCCCCAGGTTCTCACCACCATCCACAGGCTCTCCTCACTCACCTTTGCAGAGGAACTGCTGAATGGACTCTGTGCCTGCACTGCAAACATCAGGCGATGGGTAGGTCATGGAAGAGGCATCCAGGGTCAGCGCCTCCAAAAGAGAACACACAGAGCTCCAGGTTATTCCGATGGCCCAGTCAGAGCCCATCTGCAGCTATCCTTGCAGGTCCTCAAATTTTCACTTACGGAGGGATAACTTCATGTTACCCTAAATCCTGACATAAATACCAGTTTGTATTGACTTTCTGCTGAGTGTTCAATGCTGTTCAGAGGTGACTCTGCTTGTCCCTTATTTGGGAGCTCCTGAGCTGGCCCCTCAGTGGAACACCCCCTCATGCAGATGTGTCTAAGTACAAGAGGGCACAGCACTTCTCAACTACAGGAATTTTCTCCTATATTTCAGTGTGCTGGAGCCCTCAAGCATGATGCATGGGAGGAATGGTGATACACAGGGCACAGAGGATTACCATAAAGAATGAGTGGAAGGACACTTGCTGTTTTGTCCTACTGTGGCCACCAAAAGGACCTAATGTTGCCTCCTGTGGAGAAGGACATAGCAGGAAGGCCTGGAAAGGGCTTTATGAAGCTTTATCAAGCATGGGGGAGCAAGCTGCACAGATCCCTCATCTCAGAGACTGCCTGCAAGAGATGTGAAGCCTAATGTTGTGTGTTGGAGACAGAAGAGCATCTATTCACATCCTCCATGCTGGTGTCTGAGTCAGCCCTGTTGCCTGACATTTAACAGTTTAGTACTGACAAGTCTGGCAGCCAGAAGGTAACACATCCATAAAAATCTTGATTACATTTTGAATGCGCACTCCAGGGAGCCAGAAACCCACAGAGCCTGATAATGAGTCACAGATCTGTCACGGCAACAGAGGCGAAAACCTCATCGGAAACATCCCAGCTGCTCATTGAGAATCAGCCTTGGTGGAAAGCGGCTGAGTCAACCTAAGCCCCCCCTCCATGCTCTCAGAGACAGCCCTGGCAGGTAACACCTCGGGCTTTGCTCCCTGTGGATTGCATCTGCCATTAAACCACAACAAAAAGAGATCAGAAAAGACCAAAGCAGGAAGAGAACACAAAAGCTATTTTGGACACCACATAGCCTTGTTACAATGCCCCCCAGCGTGTCCTGACCGAACCCTAAAAATTCACTTTCTATGCTAAATTTATTCTCGTATTGAGCAAGTAGGAAGGGAAGCAGCCTGCAGCAGAATAAACAGCCTGTGAAGGGGGGAGATGGACGTGGTCGGCTGGGTGTGTACCTCCAGAGTGCGGATGTGAGCCAGCACCCGGGGCAGCTCTTGCAGCTCATTCTCACTGACATCCAGAGAGCGCAAACTCCGCAAGCCACTCACAGTAGCTGGCAGCTCCTTCAGCTTGTTACCTAGAGAGAGAAAAAAGCCACTTAGTACCACGTAACCTTTCCAAAGCAGGACCCAGAAAGTTCATCTGCTAGAACATCAAACCATAATCACATTTATGACTCATTTGCTATACTCTACCACAGGGATGGGGCTGTCATGGGTCACACGAGGACTCCAAAGGCTGCCAATGCCCACTGAGGGAAATAGGGATCAAGATCTACTTGCATGCAGCCCCAGTGCACAGGTCCAGCAGCAGTTCCTCATGTCAAAACGACCTTCTCAGCTGAGGTCACTGCTGCAGGCTGGATCTGTGCTCTTTAGCAGGAGAATATTTGTAACGTGGAGTCTTCCTCCCTTTGGTGTAAGTATGAGAGATGGGAGAAAGGGGGGACTGCACATCTAGGGGTCAGAGGCCAGGTGCTGCAGACAGATACAGCAATGAACTGAGCTGCACTTCCAAGTTCCTCGCCCTCCAATTCCTTCCCTGGTTCAGCAACAGGTCCCTGTAACAAAGTCTCCTTTTTCTCCCAGATTTATATCACTGCATATCTGAAAAATGCCCACGAGTCTTGAAATGAGGTACGGTTTTGACTTTCGTGTTAGGGCTGTGCAAACCTGGCAGGGCTCACAGGACTGAGCTCTGGGTGTTGGTGGACTTAACAGTAATTCAGTTTACCTGTGCTGACTGCTCTGCTTGCTTTACTGAACTGCTTCTGCCAAAGACCTACTACGTTCCTTACACCTGAATCTGCATAGACAGACTTCTTAGGTTGGTCTAAATCATTATCCAGAGGGGGACAAACCCTGGCCTGGTGCTCCTCTTGCAGGGCACACACCACACTCCCAGCTCGAGGAGGGTCTCATGCTCCCGTGTGCCTCCAGTCCACCCGACACTCCTCGCCGCAGGGGCTCTGAAATGCCCACGTGCAGGCACACAAGGAAGCTTTCAGCTGCTGAGATCGGCCAGGACGATCCAACAACCTCTCCTTTGAGAAAAGGCAGTGGGCTGAATGAGAACATCATCTGGACCAAGTCTGACCCATTTTCTGCTTAGATGGCTTCTCCTGCCTTGCCAACTGTTTGAATTCAAATCTTTCTTGTGTTCTTTCTTAGCATTCACAGTGTAAACCATTTGGTGCCTGCCTTGGTTGAAAGGAATAATTACTAATGCAGCTCAACACGACCCAGATAATAAATGGAGCTTTGCCCAGAGCACCAACAAGAAACATGCGCCATACCTTTCACATTGAGCATCTGGAGCTGGGCAAGGTCTCCTACAGATTGTGGAAGACATTTTAAAAGATTCCTTTCAAGGTTTAGGACCTATGGTATTAACAAAAAAGATATTCTTTATGCAAGTCTCAGGTCTTCTACACATCTACGCTGTTGGGACTATTTTCAGGCCCAGAAGGACAACTTGAAATAGGTTTTAGACAGTATTTTCCAGGTTAAAATATTTATTTTCCAGAAGCTCTGGATACAGGGTATGTCTAACTACCAAAATCAGTGAGAAACCCCATTCACAACAGCAGCAGCAGGTGCTGAACCCAGATGCAAGAACTGGGAAGCAGAGCGTCCTCCCCTCCAGGGCAGCGCTCCCCAACCCCGGCTCCAACAGGGGAGCAGTGACTGAACCTAACGCTGCGCCCCAAGCAGAAGGGACCTTCAGTGTGTACTACAGCACACTGCACTGAGTTCTCAGCACAATCACAGCAGGAAGAACGGTAAAACCTGAACATTTTGGTAAATCAACGGGCTCCAGCTTTGCTTGGTCACTGCTCTTGCTGGGTAGTGGGAGCCGTTTGGACTGACAGCTCTTGCACTAAACTGAGTCTGTATAATTCAGCATGCCTGCTCTTCTGCTCTTCTCCTGCTCTCCCTCTCCAACAAGCCAGTTCAACAGCAACAGCCAAGTCAATGAGGTAGATCTGACATTCTGAGGGCCATCATTTAAGTTGTGATTGATTAAAAACAAACAGCAGTAACCCCGTATTCGTGCTGTCCACTAACATGCTCTTTACAGACACTTGGGATGCAGCCGCAAATCTTTTACCTGAAGAGACGTCAGCTGGCCAATATCAGCGGGAAGCGATGCCAGCTGGTTGTTGTGCAGGTCTAGAACCTGAAGAGGAGATGATTTCATCAGACAAGGTTGGGAAAAGAAGTCATGGTGCAAGAATGAAAGGTCATGAATTACCTAGCAATGAAAAGGACTTCCCTTCCAATGGGGTTTGATAAGTGGCTTAAGTTTACAAGGAGTTACAGGCACTTAATTCTTGTAGGTCTTTTGAAAACTCAAGCCTTTATACATCGATAAATAAACAAAAGACCAGGGAGAGCAGTGACACCAAGGGAGCTGTTCCACAAAACTGCATGAGTCAACTGGGTAAATCATTGCCATGGAGCCAGCCTGGCAGAAAAAGACATCTTCTGCAGGATCAGTGAGCTGAACTGCTCCATGGGGGCTGAACTGCTCCAACACCAGCACTAGCACAGGCAGAGGGCAGGACTACACCTGGAGACCTCCCTCCACGGGGAGAAGTGACTGCTGGAATGACTCTGCCTCTTGTGGAACCACAGCACGAAGGTGGTGGAGCTGAAAGCCCTCAGCATTTACGTGACAGATACAGTCACACAGCCCCATCTCACATGGTCACCCATCACCAGTTTCCTTCACATTCAACTGTCCCACCAGTGCAGAAGAGAGATGGACCTACCCCACAACAGACTCAGCCCTGACTGGAGGATTACGAAGAGGAGAAATGAGTCCTGGGACTGATTATGATTTTACACAAACTGCTCAGTGACTGCTAACTGTCTACCTGGGAGGCAGACCTAGGAACGGCAGGTTTCACACCGTGTTACTGATTCTCAGCAAAGACAGTTGGGCAGAAGGGATCTATTTGGGCTAGTGTGTTTTAATGCAGCTAGAATGCAAGGAAAAGAGGCTGCAGATTGACTGCTAAGAATCACAATTACCTTCACAGTTATGAGACTTAGGAGGCTGCAGGACTTTGGAACTAAAGATGTCAGATTATTCGTATGAATAATCAGCACCTGAGGAGGAAAAACCTCATTGAATCACGAGCACAAGAGACATTGCTGTCTAGAACAAGCACATTTGTTGAGATTTAATTGCATAGGCTCAGTATCTTACTCAGTATCATATGAAATATTAAAATAGTAAATGGATTTTTCATAGAAGGTCAAACATTTAACATGAGATCTAAACAACAGCCCAGCTCCTTACATGAGAAACATCATTAGCTAGGCTTAGCTAGAAACAGCCATCTCATCTTTCTGAGAGAAAGTCAGCCCTAAAGCACACAAACAGGATTAGCCCTACCCAAACTGCTTTCTGTGTAGTACTGTACGAGTAGCCAAATTCATTACAAGCAAACTTCTTCAGAAGCAGCACATAAACAACCACATACAGTCATTTCAAACACAGCAATAATACTCAAGCATAGCACTAGAATTATCTAATAACTTCTGATTGCAACGTTACCTTTTTCTGCAAGACTTTACAAGTTGCAAAGGCCCCATAAGGAACCTAAAAACAATTAAAAACAGTTGTGTCAGACTTTCAAGATACAATCTTTGTAAGCACTTCTACAGTATCCACCTGTACAGTGTGAATAACGAACTTTAATGAAAATGCAAGTGATACTTCAAATTACTTGCCCCTGGTTTTGGCCCAGTATTTCCCAGTTAGCTTCCATTTAAACAGCTTGCAGTGGGTCTCCACAACACAACAGTGTTGTGCGTAGCACAGAACCGACCAAAGTTTAGGCAGAAGCCCAAGTCTTGCGTGATTTAATATTCCACGTGCAGATGACTCAAGAGTTCAGGCCTATTTTCAGTTAGTCACCATACAAATGTATTCCATGGTTTTGCAACCTCAGCAAACGCACTGCAGTGAGCTAAGTGGGGATGGTGAGCAAGAGGCAGGACTCAGCGTTCTCAAAAGTGCAAGGCTCTGCAGGAGAGGGGCAGTCTGAAAAGGGATACGCCAGCAAATTCAGCCCATGCCAACCAAGGTGAGCACTGTGACCTGCTCTGCAGCATGGAAGCAGCATCAGCCAAACCCTTGTCCAGAGTTTAAGACCAAAATGATGGCTCACTTTTTTATTGAAAGAACAAAGGCTAAAAAGAAACAGCAAGACAGAGTTTCTTGGTACCAATCCAAAAGGAGCTGCTGGGGATCCAAGAGCAGCTGTGGCTGTGAATGGGGCTGGCTCAGCACTGTCTGTCACCCTTTTACCCAGACTGGCTCGCAGACTGTCCCACACAGCTCACAAACCTACACGCAAGATGCTGTTGGCTTCTGATCTTGGAACAAAACATCCCAAAGTCTCAGCAAAGCCACTTCATCCCAAATCTCTCCCCAGAAAGCAGTGCAGTATCTATAAGCTTGCTTGGCAAAGGCATCCTGCGGCAAAAGGTTACACAGGTACCAACATTTTAGAAACATGAGCCAATGAATAAAAACTGAAAGTGAAATATAGACAGGCTTCTGTTTAACAGGGTTGCCTGGCTGCCAGAATGAAAAGCTGTGTCTCCTCTGAAAGCCTGGCAATCTGTCACTAACGGCTCACACTTCAGCAGACAGCTTATTTCTAATTTAGTTGGCTGCCATAAAAGAAGCCAAGCTGGAAGTGAGATTCCTATCCTTAACCAGCAGCCTGGAACCAGAGATTTTCATTTATACAGAAAAATAAGTGCAGGTGTCAGACTTTGTAGCTCTAAGATTAGAAACAGTCAGCCTTTGGTGAACAAATTCCCTTATGACTTGCAAAATTAGGCCATGAGGTCTCAAACTAGGGTCTTATTAAGATACTGGTGGAGAGTATGAGACTACTTCCCATCTTGAGGATGCCCTTCCCATCTTGTCAAATGAAAAAAGGATTCCCAGGACAGAAATGCTGTCAAAGCATCAGGCAGGACTGGCAATCTCCCACCAAAAAATGCAGAAGCCCTCACCTGAAAGCCACAGCTCAGCGGACATAGGAAGAAGCACACCAGCACCAAGGCCATTTCTGTCTCGGGGCTCACAGACACAATGCTAAATCTGACAGCAACAGAGAACTCAGACCTGTGAGCAATACTGGATGTTGTAGGGAACGTACCTCTGAGAGCTCACACTTGGATATGTCAAGAACTTCATCAGCACCAGCTTCTTTTGCCTGCAGAGGGAGGATAGGCACCCAGAGAATTAGAGCATGCAGACACACACGGCCTCCTGCTGCACACTGACTACACTGCTCAACTGACCCCTCTCCAGACAATGTCACAGCTGTGTAATGCAGTGACAACGCTAGAAGCAAAAGGTGTGCTGCTACAACTGCAGCAAGCAAAAGCAACCGGGAAACCAAACTGCGGAAAAACTCTTTCGGTGCAATGAATTAATTTCTGCATGAAGAACCAAAGCACAGCCAAATTCTGCAAGGATATGGAAAGGAAATGATGGGTTCTCAAGAGAGGCACTTCCTAGGAACAACAGCAGTGCCACCCTAGCCTGTAAGGAGCCTGCTGTGTCGCTGGGATGTCTCACCCAGCAGATCAACCTTCTTCTGAACTGCACCCAGAAACCAAAATAACCTGCTATCGCCTTTTTGCTTCCCTGGGACCTGCAGAGCCAGCTCTGCTGTGTAAGAAGGAGCAAGGACTCAGTGCTTCTGCACAGATGTGGTTTTCCATGTTCAAATCTACATCCAATGCAGTTGCTAACAGCACTGACACTGGACAAACCTCACCGTGAGCAGCGTTGCACCTCTGGAATTCTTTTCTTAAGTAAAAGGTACTGCACGAGGTAATAAAACTTGCTTGTTAGTGCCTCTGTTAAGTCTTCAGAACTGGGTATCTGACCCTAAACTAAACACATGCAATACAGAACTAATCCTAGGAGGGACAGACTAAGCTGTCCTTCCCCAGCCCCACGGGAGCTGAAGAGTGACCCTCCAACCGAATACATTCAGTAAAACTGGTTTCACTATTGGTACATAACAAAGCCTTCCTTTCCAAAATACCCTACAGACATCCAACAGGCAGAATTGTGTCAGTTTTAAAATGCAGGTGCCTCTGGAGAAGAGCACAGCAGATCCCCTATGCCAGCACTGGTCTACAGCTCCTACAGCAGAATAGGTGAAATAATTCCAAAGAAGATTGGTTTCTGAAAGCAAACATTAAATCTGTGGGTGCTGGAAGGAAGGCAGCTCTGCTGACCTCACTGGTACAACAGCAACCTGCTGAGAATCTACCCCAGAGGATCCTGGCTAAACCCTAGTCCAGGAAAACAAACACCAACATCTAACAAGTTGATCCTTTAAATGACAAGAGGAAACAAAATAATAATGAGAAACAAAAGAAAGGCACAAGGAAAGCCAAGTATGGTGGGAAAGGGGATGCCACAGGTTCCTGGGTAGGAAAAGCAAAGTGGGAGATGTGTAAGAGTGAAGAGGCACAGAGGAGAGCAGAGGGATGGGGTCCCAGCTTTAACCCCAGGCTGGCGGGGACGGGGGTGGGGACGTAACGTGGAACCACAGCGGCAGAGAGGGATGGAAGTGGCATGAAGGGAACCTGTGGATGGGAGGGCTAAGGGAGGTGAGGAAAGCAGGAATTCCCTGATGTACACTAGGATGACAGCCTGCTGTCTCAGTGAGATCAGTAACACAATTACTGGTAACGCAGGGGACGTACCAACTCCCTTGGCATCCAGGAGCAGGCACAGAGACCAGACAAGACCTCGACACTGCTTACCAGGCACATTTGGTATTCAAGGCGCTTCCGAGCATCATCGCTGGGTTTCTTCTTACGGAAGAAGAGTGGCATCTTTAGTTTTGACTACAGCTCTGTCCCAGTGGCACAAACGATCAGCGTAAATGAAGGCAGAGGAATCCTGGAGTGTGTGTTTGCTGGGGAGCCTGGACCACGAAACTGCGCTCTAATAAATGGAAGGAAAAAAGAGAAAAATTAAAAAATCACTGTCTCTGCAATTTGCTTTGTTTAAGACCTTCTCTGCTTGATCAAACAGGCAGATCCCAGCACACCTCCATGGTGGGAGTGTTAACACGAGCCGCAAGATCACTGCTGTGTCTCTGAGATGGGTTGATTGCCTCGGTCATCCCTGTGCAAGATAAATTAAGTCAAGCTGGAACATGTACAGAGAAAGGTCATTGAGTCATCAGGAAAACGCAGGGCCCACTCTAGGCTAAGAACTAAAAAAGCTGTAACTGTATCAAGACATCAAGCACCAGGGACAAAACCCAAACTATTTAAACTCAAAAGACCATCCTGGCACAGTGAAAGAAACTGTAAAATGTTCTAGAACAAAGCTAGGCTGGAAATGTGAAAAACTCCTAATCCTGAGAGCAGCACAGCTGCCTGCCCCTGCCAGGGCAGGTGAGAACAAACAAGACCCCAGTGCAGCCAAAACACAGGGAACTGTTTGCAAGGGACCTGATGATCACAGCATACGCAGAGCCCTCTCTGGCACATCACACAGCCCATCCCAGCCACTTCCCGGGACGTCACAGGAACCCCAGATGGGCACCAGCATTGGGATGCACAAAGTCAGCTTTAGGGCTTGTCTCAAGGCAACAAACCACACAATTCATTTGCTTTCCAGGCAGAAGCAGAGATGCACAGGAATATCTTCCCCGTTTTAGTCACACAGTGACTAAAGATTCTGCTTAAACACCTAATAGCTTAAAGACAGATTTTTAACAGTCTTACAAAGCCAAACCGATTTCCAACAGTCTAATAACTGCCTGCAAAGCCCAAAGAATCCAACTCCAGAAAAATTCTGACTACAAACCAGTCAATTGCTGCTGCCCCAGTCAGGGTGAGCTACCTGCCCTCCTGAGCACTTAGGTGCTTCTCCCAGGCTGTGTCCCCCCAGGCCAGGTTGCCAGACTCCATCCTTGGCTTAGGGGGCAGCCAGACCTTCCCCAAAACGGTTGTTCGAAGGACTGAGAGCCGGAGAGTGTCCTTCTGTTAATTCAACTGGACCGCACGCAAAGACACCCGCTGATTCAAGGGTAAAGGGAAGGGAAGTTGAATGAGAGAGGAAAGCGTGGATGGCAGGAGGATGTCTGGGGAAATCAGGACTGGAGGGGGTGAAGGGGTAACAGAAACCAGGCAGCTCTGGGAGAGGACTCTGACTCAGCAGGGGAGAAAAAGGGAGTGTGTTGGCAGAATTTGAGGGAAGGGCAGAAAGCCAAGGCCAGACAAGAAACAGGGAGACCAGCTGGTAATTTGACAAGTACCAGTTGGGATGCTGGGAAAAGAGAGATGGGGACAAGGTGAGCAATAAAATCAAGGATAACAGGGGTTAATCTCAGGCTGCACGTGAGCAGAGGGCAAGAACTGGCAATGCAGAAAGTGTCTGAGCTGGGGCTGCTGGTGAACAAGGGCCCACAGAGGGAGCTGACGCAGGTGGGACTGAGTCTGGCTTGGTGACAAGATGGGATGAGATGAGAGAAGAGCGACAGTGAGACTTGAACTGGCTGGGGAAGGAGCATTGGGAGGAACCAAAAGAGCCACGATCAGCACTGCAGGGCACAGGGGGTGGGCCCAGGCAGGAGCTACGGCTGCCGAAAGTCCATATCAAGACTGGGAGTTTCACTTTGCAATAACTTTTTAAAATCTTGTTTTCATAAGCAATTTTTAAACCAATACCAAAGTGTCAATACTCGCCCAGTTCACCAGTAAATGGCTCAGCCATACACTACAGTTCAGTGCTCAGGGAAGCTCACGTGTTGTACACAAGAGAGATGGTTCTCTGCCAGCTCAGTGCCTACAAACTGGTCTCCAACTGCACTGAGCAGCACACAGCCACAGGATACGGTTCCCTGCGCGCGGAGATCTCTGCCAAAAACCACACAGAGCTTTGTGTAGACAAATCCTTAGCGAGAAAGGAAAATACAACTTCAGTTGAAATGCATCCACGCAACTACTTTTCATTTCAGTCCAGAAACGAGGAGGCAAAGATGTCCCCTGCTTGGCTGCGCTGTTGGAGCACACTACAAGACACAGCAGAAGGTGACTACAAACTCATCTGCTGTGTTAGAACCAAATCCGAACAGTTTCACGGCTCCTTCCCTGCCATGCCACTTTCTGCTGTCTTTTTAATAAGGTCAGACTCCTGAAATGCCCCTCAGGCTCATGGGAGGAAGAGCAAAAATGCCGAAGATTAAGCAAGAAGGGAAGCTGCAGTCTGGAGGTGCAGGAAAGCAATCAAGGGCCTTAAGGAAGGGGCAGACATCCCATCATGGATAGGAACAAAAGGAAATTTACAGCTGCAAAACAAGGACAAGGGTGCCTGCAGCAAGATATCCATTACTTTGGTGACCATTTCCAGCTCTCTGCTGAGGCCTGACGCATCCCCTTGTCCTGTCTCACCTCTCCCCATTACAGCCAGACACCTTGTATTCGTCAGGCAGACACCGGAAAATCATTATTTAATTTTCACCCAAGAAAAGACATAAAGACACGAAGGCTGACAGACACACAGCTGAGCAAGACAAGAATCGTCTCGGAGGTCAACAGATGAAGGATCAGAGACTGCTTAAACAGACTGAATGGCCTTTAAATGTCAAAACTTGCCTTAGTGAAAAGATGTGTCAAACCTCACCCAGCAAAGCTGTACCTGTGTGTGCAGTAACAGGAAGGACCTTTGGCACGTGACCGTATTTTATATGACGTAATTTTTATTTATTAAGTTATTGAAAGAAGCATCTCTAAGTCCTGGACAGGACCCGCCCTGCAGTCCGTGAGCATCCATGAATGGCAAATCCCTCCATGAGCTGCAAACCCCGCGTCCCTACGGATGCCAGCCGCTGGTCTTGGCAGGCACCCGCTCTGCCCTGCTCAAGCCACAGCAACACAGGGCGAGAAAGGGCAGAGGAATAAATGAACGTCCACTGTGGGATTTACAGCCTGCAGCTGAGAACAAAATAAAACCAACTCCCTAATTTTACAAACAAACATAATCAAAGCAAAACAGCAACACTGCTGTATAAAAAGACCCAAACCCCAATTCTTTATAGACATTCTGGACATCATGTTTAGGGCATGGCACTGTAACAGACAAGACAGGGGTCTGGAAAGAGGCAAGATTTTCTTTTTTCCAGGCAGACACGCTCAGGAGCGCAGCAATGCAGCAGTGAGCCAGCACCGGGATCCGAGCAGGGCTCCTGCAGAGATGCTGCCTGTCATGAAGGACGGAGCTGTCACCAGACACCTCTCAGGCAGCGGGTCCTGCCCACCGAGAGGAAGGTTATAAAGGGACTAACAGGGGCAAGCTCTGCAGCCCGATATGCACTGGAACAAGAGTCAGGTAGGAAACAGAAGGCGAACTGCAGCTTTGTAACTTACTCTCCCTCCGCACATTTGCTCTCTGCGCTGGAGAGCTGCCATGACAGTTGCACCACCTCCTGTAACAATCAGGTTCTACTCGATCCTGTCAAGGACCTCCCTGGCACTGCCCAAAACAAATCTCCTCAAATCTCCCCTCTTCTAAACCAGCTCCAGCTCTGCCTCTCAGTCCTATCTCTCCCTTACTGTCACTACTCTCTTCTTCTTCTTCTCTTAGGGACTCCCTGCAGTGTCCCCCTCCCAGGTTGCACACAGCTTCCAGTGCTATCTTTCTCGGTCCTCCTCTTCTTTATTCTGTTACCAGCCAGACCGGAGCCGTTCTGTGCCCGAAGCCCTGAGCGCCGCCAGTACCGGCCCCGACACCTGA